CGTGTATGCACATATAAATGTATATAGGCAGAACGTATCTTGTATCATGTGCGTGAATTGTATACTCTTTTCAGAAGCCGCTTCATGTTGAGTATTCAATATTATCAAGCTGTTCTGCATTGACGTGTCTGTTTATTATACAGATGTTTTCCGGTGTACATTCGTTTGATCACTGCACTTAGAACTGATTGTGCATTGTGCTTGTCCCGACTGTCAGTGTTAATTGAGTTCGCCATAATATATATGTCTGATACTGACGAATCTCCCGTTTGGTCACGTCGCATATAGGATAATGAATAATAATACGATTATAACACACAACACACAAGTTGTTAACAGACCAAGGGGGGGTTCTCCTTGTGCAGGCGGAATGGTTCCAGCGACAGAATGGTGGCTTCGTGCGTACAATCATATAGCACAGCCCATGATGTGAGCCATTTGTGCCGCTTTCCCGGGTGCGGCGCAGAGTTCTCGACTCTGACTGAGCTGGCATGTCATTTAGGGACACACACGGGCGAGCGTCTGTATGTGTGTGACTGGCCGGGTTGTTACAAAGAGTTTTCAAGCCGTGCTTACTTTATGGTCCACAAACGCTACCACGGAAACGACCGCCCTTATATCTGTAACATTCCTGGGTGTGGCAGCAGGTTTACCAACTTGTCGCATCTCAAGCGGCACCAGGCAACACATACGGGCAGTCTCTCTCACATGTGTGACTACGACGGTTGCGGCCATGCATTTGCACATCTCTCCGACCTCATAAAGCACAAGAACACACACACAGGCGAACGCCCTTACCAATGTGACTATTCTGACTGCGGGAAAGCCTTCGCTCAGTCCAGCACACTGAACAGACACAAACGTACGCACGAAGTAGGGTCCGTCTATGCGTGTGATTGGCCGGGGTGTGATAAGAGCTTCAAGCGCGTAAGCCATCTGGCTTTGCACAAGCGTGCACACTCGGGCCATCGTGTGTTCACCTGCACACACGAAAAATGTAATGCTGTATTCAGCACTTCAAGTAATTTAACGAGGCATATGCTCAAGCACACGGACACAAACGCACAGTGACCATACACAACCTCAGCTGACAACAGGGAGACTATCCCTCTCAACTGCAACTAAGCTCACATTACATATGCTCAAGCACACGGGCACAAACGTACAGTGACCATACACAACCTCAGCTGACAACAGGGAGACTTTCCCTCCCAACTGCAACTGACTAGCATTACATATGCTCAAGCACGCGGACACAAACGCACAGTGACCATACACAACCTCAGCTGACAACAGGGAGTCCCTCTTAACTGCAACTAAGCTCACATTACATATGCTCAAACACACGGGCACAAACGCATAGCGACCATACACAACCTCAGCTGACAACAGGGAGTCCCTCTCAACTGCAACTAAGCTCACATTACATATGCTCAAGCACACCGACACAAACGCACAGTGACCATACATAACCTCAGCCGATTATTTATCCTCTAAAACCTAAAACCCTAAAACAATATTAGTCGCTGCAACGTTTCAGCTACTTCTTGCCAGTGCATATGGATGATGTTTACACGCGCCAGAGCACTGAACGTTTGATTAGACTTTTAGCTGGATGTTTAATTAGACGTTCAGCTGTATGTTTGATTAGAAGTTTGGGCGACTCTTGCGAAATTCTTCGCCTCTGACGCCAAATCAGTGGAAGTGGAACGGGATGCTGCGTAGACTACGGATGTATCGTCACCAAGACATTAGAATGAGCGAGTGACCGCAAAGCCCATGCGAAGGGCTTGCGCTACCAAATCACTATTCGATGAGAGTTCTCGACTGAGATGTTTTTTTTTATCCGCGTGCATGCACTCACGTACAAGAAATAAACCATAACTGAAGCGAAAAACCCTAGTACAGCAAACCTAGTGCAGCAAACCTAATGCAGCAAACCTAATGCAGCAAATCTAATGCAGTAAACCTAATGCAGCAAACCTAATGCAGCAAACCTAGTACAGCAAACCTAATACAGCAAACCGTGCTCGACTTTCGTCGACTGCTCGAGTGTCTGCGCTATTTAGTATCCCAAACAATCTTGCGGGGCCGTTATTGGTTGAAGTAAGACGATCCATGCACCATTCCATTCAGTGCATTCCGTAATGCGACACTTCCAATAGTAGCGACATATGCACCACATGTGTGGAGTCACAAGTACAGTGGCAACCAATATTTTGTATAAAATAACCATATAAGGGTTTGACAAGAGTTAGATCAATTCTCGAATGATTGTTCAAGCCCCAGTTTAATCTCCAAATGATCGTATAAATACCAGCTAATAATCTTCAAATGATCGTACAAATGGTAGTTTAATTCTCAAATGATTGTAAAGTATATAGTTAAATCGAATGTTTGTACATAACCTATTTTAGTTTTCAAATCGTTGTACAAAATATAGTTCAATCATCAATTGAGTGGACATGATATAGTCTTAACTTTAAATTATTGTACAACAGGTAGTTTAATTCTCAAATGATTGTACATAATATATTTTCGTCTCCAAACGATTCTACATAAATAATTCCAGTTAATCTTTAAAATGATTGTACTTCAAGTATTTCAATAGTCAAATGAATGTACAACGGACATTTTACGTCACAGATGGTTGTATACAAGATACTTTACTTCTCAAATGATTGTATTAAATATAATTCAATCTCTAAGTGATTGTGCTTATTCTAGTTTGATCTTCAAAGGATTGTACAACAGGTAGATTAATTCTCGAATGATTGTACAAAATATATTTCAATCTCAAAATGATTGTACATAATCTAGTATATTCTTCAAAAGATTATACAAAGTTCTCGAATGTTTGTACAAAGTATATATCAATCATCTAATGATAGTACATAATCTAGTATAACCTGTACAACAGGGAGTTTGATTCTCCATTGATTGTACAAAATACAGGTCATGTTTCAAATGTTTTAACCGAAATAATTATACAGAATCGTCAAATGATTGTACAAAATGTAGATTTAAACGAAAGGATTGTATAAAATTTAGTTGAATAAACGATTGTATAAAAACAATTTCCATATCAACTGACTATTCACAATCATATTCTATTTCAATTGTTTGTACATCTGAAGTCCTATAATACTCTAACGATTGTACATAATCTACTTTAATCCTCAGGTGATGGTACAGAATATACTTTAATCTTCTAATAATTGTACTTGAAACGATTGTACAAGATCCTCAAATGATTGTACATAATTTGCATTTAATCTCATATTGTAGAAAATCTAATTTAATCACGAAACGATTGTAGAAAATCTGGTTTAATCGTCAAATGATTGTTCAAAATCTAATATAATCCAAAATATTTTTACATAACCTGTTTAAATTTCCAAACGATTGTACATAATAATGTACCGTAATAGGATATATTTTTGACAATCCATTTACCAGACTAGTTTCATTGATCTCACACACCCGTGCAATCTTCACCTCGTTATAAAAATTCTGTGTTGTATTTCAAACAAGCTTCGGCCGATTTAGGGTTATCTTGTTTCATTTGAAAGACTATGGTTATCTAAACCCCTGAAACGTAATCATGAAACCTAAAACTCTGAAACATATCGTAACGACGTCATTCAGGTGAGGAGGGTTTTAGTTTGAACAAACACCGTGGTGAACCACGTACATCCACTACTACACCGATCCACTGGAGAGTTCACTTGTAACTACTATTCTTTATTACTTATATCCTATCTCATCGCTATCACGGAGAGGGTGAGGCTGCTTGGTCGAGCACTGTGGTGGAGTATGACTTGTGCACGCGTTTGTACTGCTCTTCCATGTCCTTGACCTGTTGTCCGGTGGCTAAGTTGAGACTCGATCGGTTGTGCACCAAATGACTGGTCACCAAATGCCCCGCCGCCAACGCCGCCATCAGCGACAGCTCACCCGCAAGAACAGTACCACACACAATCTAATGGCGGGGGGGGGGGAGGACGTAGATAAGCAGGTAGGTGAGGAGGGTGGGGGGAGGGGGTCTAAAAGAGGGCAAATGATGTCCGAAATCCACTGTAAGTATGGACGCAAAAGTGTACGATGCAATACTGAGTGAGGTACTTGAGGTACAGATAAATACCCTATTGCACAGTTTGAACGAGTCCAGACACCAGCCACATATTTCTGTGACAATCCATAGAACACTAAATGATACAGTGGAGGTAATTGTAACAAACCTGTTGTTTATTCAGTTATATTGACTGTGCCTTGGTGCTGGCAGCACTTGTGAGAAATGACAAACGGAAAAGAATCACACAACAGCAGACTACTTACAGACACATACAACAACAGCCATGCTATACACCAACAGAAGACTACTTACACATACATACAACAAAAGCCATGCTATACAGCAACAGAAGAATACTTACAGATACATACAACAACAGTCATGCTATACACCAACAGCACAATACTTACAGATACATACAACAACAGCTATGCTATACACCAACAGAACACTACTTACAGATACACACGATAACAGCCATGCTGTACGCCAACAGAAGACTACCTACAGATACATACAACAACAGTCATGCTATACAACAACAGAACAATACTTACAGATACATACAACAACAGCCATGCTACACACCAACAGAAGACTACATACAGATACACACGATAACAGCCATACTATACCCTAACAGAAGACTACCTACAGTTAAATACAACAACAGCCAAGCTACACACCAACAGAACACTACTTACAGATACATACAACAAGAGCCATGCTACACACCAACAGAACACTACTTACAGATACATACAACAACAGCGATGCTATACACCAACAGAACACTACTTACAGATACATACAACAACAGCCATGCTATACACCAACAGAAGACTACTTACACATACATACAACAACAGCTATGCTATACACCAACAGAACACTACTTACAGATACATACAACAAGAGCCATGCTACACACCAACAGAACACTAC